GGCGTTGCCTCGGCAACGGGAAGATGGCGGAGCGGGTGAGCGCGGGCCCTGCGCTGGGTCCGGTCCGGTCCCGTCCCGTCCGGTCCCGTCCCGTTCCCCCGTCCCCCCGTCCTTGTGGCCCTCCTCGCTTGCAGGGGAGGCCAACGCCGTCCCGAGGCGCCCGCAGGGGATCCGGGCGCCCAGCGCCCCTTAACGTGCCCGAGCACCTATAGGGGCTCCCCGGGGGATTTAAGCCGCAGAACCACGTCGGGGAGCGGGGCCTGAGTTGCGGGTTAGAAGGGGACCCCATGTGCGCGCCGAGCTGTGCCCGGGCCCTGCACTACAAACACCCCTTCCTGCCCAGGCACGGCCTGGCCGCTCGCGGTTGGGTTTGGTGGCTGCTGATATGGGGTAAAAGAGCATTTCTGTGAAGAAACTGGGAGGAAATGCTGTGGTGGCGGGTAGCGTGAGCTGCAGGGCCTTCTGTAAAAACAGTCCCTAAGGACTTTTTTAATGTTAGCAATGAGCCGCGTGTGGGGTTGTTGTCAGGACCATTACTAGTGTAAATGCCACCTGGAGCACCTTTCTGCAAATGGGATGATAATATATTTTCTGCGCGTGGGAGAAAAAAAAGATTGTTGTGATACTGTAGTAAAACCATTAAACAGAGTACCTGAGTACCTGACCCGTTATAACGCTGTCTCTTTGCTCTGTTTTATGCCTTTGCTGTGTGCTAGGCTGTACAGCCAGAGGATGAGGATGACGGCCAAGAAGAGACTGTTCCTCTGCAGGATGAAAGAGAGACATTTCTCCAGGCTGAAAGAGTCTCCTTTGGGGCTGCAGAGCCATCCATGGGTTCTGCAGAAGTGAGCTGATATAATAATATAAACATTATCTTACTCCCCAGATCTATGACCACTATTTAGAACTTTTAAGTTCTCCTGCGGCAGAAACACTTTTATTGTTGTGAACACAAAAATGTGTTTGCAAAACACGACATTTACAACACGGCAACAAAACACAAGTTACTCTCTTAAGCTATATCTATCTGTCTGAAGTTTCTCTCATGAGGAATTTCACAGCTTGCTGGTTATCTGCAGGGTCGCTGTAGAACAAGGCCAACTCTTGCTGACTCTTTGTCTATATTGTGCATGTCTCATGGTGATAAAGAGGAGCAGAGCTTTAAGGAGCAAAAGAAGTCAAAGGGAGGACCTGTTTCATATGGTGGGTTTTATGTTTCAGGACAAATCTCCTGAGGCCTTCCCAGATGATGTCCAGGCTGATATCTGTCCTGAGCCCGATGAAACAGAGGAGCCCGTGCCAGGCAGAGGCCCTGTCCACGTGTGGTCGGCCCTCACACAGGCGTCAGCCTTGTCGGTGCAGGTGGAGGGTCATGAAGAATCAGGTATCAATCAGTCCTGTATTAGAGGTACAATATTGATACCACCTATCAGACGCAGTGTCTAGTTTTCTCGTAGATTGTTGTGGATCCAACTGGAGGCCTAATACTATAAAATCTAAGCCTCACCACCAACCCCTGCAAGTACTCAGAGCCAGACTTCAAATTCCTTGTAACTTTCCTCCTTACTGTTGTGGTAACTCTACTTGTATGATTTATATTCTGAATACTAACAACATTGTGAGACACTCTAGGCTTGCCCAGGAAAAGAGGCCTTGTTATGTATTTCCTTCCATCAAGACATCTGTTTATCTTGGCACATCCTCTAATACCTAGAATTTCCTTTCTGTGACATCTCCCTTTGGGTTTTGGAGTGCAGGTGACCTAATACCTAGAATTTCCTTCCCTTTGGGTTTTGGAGTGCAGGTGACACCATAGAACCCATTTCTCTGTATTCAGAGGCTGCCTTTGAGGAATTCAATCAGTATGTTAGGGAGCATGGTAGCCAACGGTTGCAACAGGAACAGCAACAGCCACAGCATGGAGCTGGGGAAACTGAAATGAGTGGAAGAAGAGAGGAAACAGCAGAAGCAGCACAGCTGATCGTCTTGGATCCAGAACATGTGAGATGTCCCCATACCTTGTCTTTTTTTTCTTTTCCAACTCAGCACTTTTATTGCTAGCCATGTAAAACCTGAGGGATTAGTTATAAGCAATGACTTACCCATGGGTTAAAAATAACTTTTACAAAATTACTAACTCCTGAAGAATACATCTGCTCTGTCAGTATTGATCTCAGATTTGCATGTTGAGAAGTGAGCAGGCAAATCTGATAAACTTTGGTGCTCCTGAAAGAGAAGTATTTGCAGCAACAATAGGTGACTTGCAAACATTCTCGGTATCCGTGAATACATCTGCTCTGTCAGTATTGATCTCAGATTTGCATGTTGAGAAGTGAGCAGGCAAATCTGATAAACTTTGGTGCTCCTGAAAGAGAAGTATTTGCAGCAACAATAGGTGACTTGCAAACATTCTCGGTATCCATTTTCTGCTGTAAACAAATACACTATGTAACTTCTCTCACTTGCTAGATTGTTTATAGCTAGAGTAGGAATCCAGGTGCTCATGGCGGAAAATACAATGTTTTATTTGATAACAGGAATAGCATTAAGGTTACTTCATAATTTATTTATGTAAGTATGTTACAATTATCAACATCTTCACATACTTCTTTACAGCCTCTGATGAGAAGATTTCAGGCTGCCCTGAAGAATTACCTTACCAAGCAGATGGAAAAAGTGAATCTGGATCTTCAGGAGCTGGTATAGCACTCTGACTTCCCCAGCATCCCGTCCCTGCCCAAGCTGATGTGAGTTAACTGCCTTCCTCCTGTGATTGCAGAGGACGGCCACAAAGAAAGGCAAAGTACAGAGAGAAGAGCTTGGGGTGGTTCTTTATGGAGTGCAACAGCAACTGGCCCAGCTGCAGATGGAGCTGGAGAAGAGCCGTGAGCGCCATGCTCAGACAGCCGCCGCGCGCCAGCAGCTCGAGGAGGAGGTGCAGGGTCTCAGGCTTGCTCACAACAAAGCCCGTCAGAACACGGATGATGAACGCAAGTCAGGTAACTGAAGCAGTCCTGGTCATATTGCCTCATTCCAGCCCCAGGGAGATGAATGGATCTGAATGGAAGTCAGGCACTGGATTGAGGAATGCAGTAAAACCCACCAGGGGTGACGCACTGATTGAGTTTCCTGGATGTGCCTGGCTGCCATGTGACTTCTGCTGGTTTTAAGGCCACATTGCTGCTCTGTCCCACTAGGAAGATCTTTTGCATTAAGACTGTTCCTGGCAGGTAGTGTTTCCCGTGGCTTGGCAGTCAGCAGAGTTCACTTCCCGTCACTTGGTTATGTTTGCCTGTGGTCTCTGTAAGGGTATATTGAGGTTATAAAAGATTGTAGGTTGTTAACCAAAGAGGACCCAGTACTATCTGTGTGGCAGCCTGTTCCAGTCCCAGAAATGAACTTAGCTCATCCTTTCTGCAGTGCAGGCATTTAGACAGGCAACAGGAAGACAGCTCCAATGGCGAGGATAGTTAAACAGCAGAATAGATTGCCTAGAGAGTTTTTACAGGTTATTTTAAAAAAATCATTATCTAGTGGTCTCTTCCGTTTCACCTCTGTTTAAAGTGTGTCCTACAAACAAACAAACAAAACTTTCCTATAAACATCTTTTCTTCCTATAAACATCTTTTCTTCCTGCCTCTCTAGTTTCTGCAATGCAGACCCAGGTGGAAAACCTGGCGATGCGTCTCTTCCACATGCAGAATATGGATGAGGATATGCGCCATAATATTCTACTGATGAAACAGTCAACAAAGAAGGCTGAAGCAGAGAAGCTCCAGGCTGAGGTGGAAAAGAAAAAACAGGTATCAAATTAAAATGTATTTGACCAAGAAAAGCTTATTTCCCAAATAAATACTTCCCAACTTTATTATTTCCTAAATAACTGAAGCTCACAATGAGTTTCACAATGATGAATAAATTAAAAAATGAGCTACAATCCGTCAGTGTGTCCTGGAGCTCCCTCTGCTGGCTTCATGGCTTGTGTTTGCAACGGAATAAATATTCTTTGGATATTATTAGGGCAGAATCATATGCAAACAATTGCAACAGAGTGAATTTAGATATTTTTCAAACAAAGCATTTTAAACCATTAAATATTACTATTCCCAGCTGCCAGAGAGGTGGCATAGTATAATCTGTGCTGATAAAAATGAAGTTCCTTGAGAACTGAAATACTAATTTGCTTACATAATAGAATAATAAAAAATCACTAAAGAAGGTCATATTCCCTTGAAAAACATCATTGCTGCGATCAGGATGATTGTTCACCTCGGAATTGAAAAGGTTTAGCAGGAACCAAATCCAGCTGTTGATTTAATTTTGTTTCTAGTTTATACCCTTCTCTTGAGCATAGTTTTTTTTAGGCCTAAGCTTGCAGTAAGCCTGTGCTCATGCTGGACTGTTCACTCTGACGTTGTAGGACCTCCTAGTGGAGCGACTAACCAGAAAAGCCTATGAGCTGCAGGAACAGGTAGCTCTGTTCGAAGCTCAGATTGTGGCCCAAGCAGAGGACACAAAAACAACTCGACAAGCAGTAAGTGAGGTAAGAGTTGACTTTATTTTTCACTTCCAGTTGATATTGCACTCTGGAGGAAATGATCTTTCTGGTTTACGCTCACATGGTATCCACAGTGAAGACTTGTGTCCTATAGTTCATTCCTGTTTGCAGGAATTGGAACATTATAGCCAGTATCACACACAAATTATATGTTGCTTGACAAAAACCTAGCACAGCATAAATGATATTGTCATAACTCTATCATTGTGCCGTCCCAGGTAGAGCAAGCTAGTCATGATTTAAATGTGCACAGTCTTCTGTGTTTCAATATTATATCAGTAACATGTATTTTTGGATATTTTTTTTTTTTGCTACCAAGACCAGAGACAGGAGTTGGCTGGTTTGTTTTTCTTTACTTCTTTCTCTCCTCCTTACTCTTATTTTGACCAGAAAAACCATCTGAAAATACCATGTTTTTTAAATTTTCATTTGTAACCATAGTTTGGCAAAAAATGCGATGGCATAAATTATGCTTTCAAACACATTGAAGTTGTTAGTGGGTCTAGTAGGATGATTTATGATAAAGTATGTAGAAGAATAAAGATTATTTAAAAAAAATACTAAAGAGCAGAAAAGCTTGAGAATGGAAAGCTAGTTTAGTTGAAGCTAGTTCTGCCCAGAGTGGGGGAGTATGGCACTGTTTCTGGTTTCTTACCCAGTATCGATTCAGTTCATCTACAAATTCCATCTTCCCCAGGCTAATACGGAGGTACAGGCTATCAACATGGAGAAGAAGCGGTTGATAAACCACTGGAATACTAGTTTGGCTGGAATGAAGCAAAGAGATGAAGCCTATACTGCCATGCAGGAGTTGCTGAGGTACAGTATGTGAGAGCAGGCCAAGGAAAGACCTCATGTACTTCGGATGGGAGAGGTTCCAAAGCATGGCTACGATCAAATTTATTCCTGTATGTGCAGGATATGTCTGACCTGTCACTGTGAAACACACAGAAGATTAAAGGGAAAGGACCATGGTTCTTCATTACCTTTTTCTTCATCCGCAACATAACCCTCCCTAAAAAATCTGATTTTTTGGAAAGCTGCTTAGGGTTATTCTGTGCATATTTTATTAAAAAAAAAAATTCCTTCTACATCTGCAACATCTGTCAGTCCAAAAAGCAAGCCACCAAAAAGGATTTATCTATCACATTCAATTAGGATTTTGTGATACCTTCTGAAATCTTCAGGAAATTTTATTAATGTTGATAGAGGGAATGTTTATTTGGTCTGGAGTCTTAAAACTTGACTGATTCTATAAGAACAAACAGTATGTTTTTATACAGTGGCATCCCAGTCAAAATGGGAAAGGAGAAAACAAAAGAAGAAATAGCTTTTCCTACATACATTTCCTTTTACATTTTAGCCTCTCCATCCATCTTCTGATAACTTCGTGCTGTCACAGTAGACTGGTCTATAATTTATAAAGATCTTCCTCCCCATTCATTTGTTTCTATAATAGCATATTTGACAAAAGGAATTTGTACGTGTTCACTGCACAAATCAATCCCTGTGATGATTTTCCATCCTCTTTACTTCCTCAGCAAGTACAGGCATGAGCTCAAGTCCCTCGAAATAGATATCCATGGCTGCAGAAAGTCGATCAGGAAGGAAGAGGAGAAGAATGAGATGCTTGTCACCATCCTGAGCCGTTCTCAGAATGATGCCAATATGACGAAGAAAATGATTGCCCAGTGCCTTGCACGGCAGGAGGCCTTGAAGGTTGAGTCTGACACCTACTCCCGCATTCTCCACGAGACAGAGCAGGCCCTCAGCAGAGCACACATGGTAAGAAAAACCGTTTGCAAGAAGAATTTTGCAAATAGCACATAGCTCTTTAATCCCTATCTCCAAACAGTGTTAGTAATCCTGTCTGTGTTCTCTGCCTCTTAGGATCAAGCTGCCCGTGTGAATGAGCTGCTGTCCATCAGTAAGGATATAGAGAAAGGAACTGATACCAAAGAGCAAATAGAGAATGAGATCATGGCAAAGCTGCAGGATCAGATGAGGTCCAGCAAAGCAGCAAAGTACTTTGCCCAGCTGGCTGAAACACTTCGCAAGAGAAAAATGGATCTGGTAATGTGTCTTTTCCATTTGGAAGGACTGAAAAAGGAAATGGGCTACAATCCTAGCCCAGAGCAGTGTTTCTCAGCTTTTTTTTTTTTTTCCCCTTTCTTTTTTTTTCTTCATTGTCCTTGGTTCTGTTTTTCAGCCCTGTAATTGAAAGTCCTCCTAGGTTTGTTACTCCTGTTAATTCCTCCAGTGGTATCACCTTGGGAGGAGTATGCAAGAGTTTGACCAGAAAGCTGTGAATATGTTGTTCTTTCTTTACTTAAACAGTGGTGCAGAATGACGAATCCTGGGAGTGTTTACTGGAAGCTTTACAAGCTCTTACTGGACAAAGACAGTTGATGTGCAATAGCTCTAGACTCCACCTATAACTTATATCTCTACCTGCATCACAGAATGTGATGCAGGCATTCTCTCAGTTTCTAAATAATGATTTCAATCCAAGGAACCTTCAAAACAAACATACAGCTCTTTTTGGCATGATAAATTGATCTCTTCAGGAGTGTATTAACTGGTGTAGATGGAAAAAAATAGAACATTCAGCATGGTATTTATCATATTGAGTTGTGTGGGCTGGTTTTAACCCATCGTGCTCACACCTCTGTATTTAACCTCAGTCTGCACAGGGTTGTGTAACATAGGTGTGTATCTTCAGTGCCTGGGAGACTGCCAGGGCTTGCTTTCCCAGTGGGAAGGGCCCCCTTTCCGATAGGCACAGGGATAAGTAGGTCAGCTTCTGCATTTGCTTGTGTTAGCATCTGTCTGGCACAGCAGAATATGGTGCAGACAGTATTGACTTGGGAAAGATCAATTTCTCACCACTCAGGGTGGTGCAGACTGTGTGCAAGTAGCAGGGTCTTACTGGGTGTCTACCTGCAGACGTGCTGCACGCCAGCAATAAGCACAGCAGATCTCTGGGCCTGGGGACACAGCACAGTTAGATGAGGGAGGCTTTTGCCAGTATGGCATAGAACTTCATATGGACACATCCTGCCATCGTTAGCCAGTAACTAGAGACATCTAAGGAAGGTGATTCCAGAAGTGAGGGGCACAGTCTCCTGCTGGATTTGGGCATAGTTCAGTGCTTCTCAACAGCCTTAGAGGAGAGGTAAGTGTTGTTATTTACTGTCAATGGCTGGAGAAACAAAGGTACAGGGATGGTATGTAGCCTGCTTACAGTTTGTAGCACAGACCTGTGGGTAGAATCTAAATCCCCTGATCCTGCCTTTTGATAACTTGGCACTACAAATCAATAGGCTCCTGTTAGTGACAATCATTTGTTTTCTATCTGGTGATATTACTAGGAGCTGCATTTCTCCAAAGTAGAGAATGATACAGCCCAGATAATTCTGAATGCAACTAATACTAACTGCCAGCTGACAGCTCTCCAAAAAACACTTTCTGAGCTGGACAAGGAAATTAAAAATATCCACGACCTGATCAGCCGTAGTGAAAGCGAGATCGCAAAGCGCAGTCTCCTGATTGAGAACAAGCAAGGGGTCATCAACCTGAACAACAAGAGGTTGGACATGATTCTTTCCCAGCTTGGGGTATGTACTGTGGACTGTGGTGATCATAGATGCCATTGGCAGAGGTAACTGTGAAAGTTTCAAGCTGATAAAAGCTTTTCCAGGCATCAGCACTGTGATTTAACAACTGCACTAAATAGTGTAAATGCTAACAACTGGTATTCAGTTCCTAAAGAACATAAAGAGAAGCTAATAATGTGGAATCATTGTGAAATGAGGGTGTACCTAGCAGAGTTTTCTGCAAGGAATTGTCTATTCATGATGAAAATGTTGGATTACATCAACATTCTGGAAGTAAAATGATAGATACTGTGGAGATTTACAGGAGGATCAAAGCAGTGAGGAACGACTTAAGTCTCTGGATAGCTGGCCCCATTCAGATGGTACCTAGCTCTATGGGTAGAAAGAGCTTTATGGGTACCAGCTTGCAAATGAATACTACAGCATACACTTCACAAATTTTCACATGTTCAGGGATGTCTGTTGTAAATGCTTAGGTGGCCATGTCACCATAGAATCTGAGAACTTTACAGGTTTACATTCCATTTATGCCTGTAAAGGTAGTTCTATTTCCATTCAGCTCATGACAAACTGAGGCAGAGAGTAGCTAAATGTAGCTCCAGCCTCACCCCCCCACCAAAAAAAAACCCAAAAGAAACAACAACAACAAAACCCTCTTGTCAAAGTATTTAGTGGTCGTATTATTGGTTGGACTGGCCTTCAGGAAATAAGAGCTCCAGCACCTTCTCTCTGATTAATTCCAAATCTTAACCTTTTTCAGGGGCAAGAGTTGGGACCACTGGAAATTGAGATAAATGGACTGACCAAGCAGATAGAAGAATGTAATTCTGAGGTGCTGACACTACAGAAGTACTGGCTTAAGCTGCAGAATGAGCTGGTCAGATTAACCCACGGCCGGGAGGAACAGCTAACCTCCTTGGATTTGTTGAGGAAGCAGATCACAGTCATGCAGCAAAAGAAAGTGCGCACTGAAAGTAAGTCATCCCCAACGTGTTTTGTGTAATGTCCATCAGTGCATGGAGAGAAAAAAGGCAGCAAGGCTTATGGAGGGGCAGCATTAAGACCCTTCACCCACGAATGTCTTCAAGATTCCTATATATAAAAAAAAGGAATGCATATGGCCCCAGAAATGTGACCTGGGGCTAAGAACTGGGCTCTTGCTGCCGTTTTTCGTGTCATAATTCTCTGTCATGATCTGATCTTGTCTTTAACTTCCACGGTCAAGCCCTAAGTGGTGGTCTCATGTGTTACCCTTAAAGTCTGCAAGTAGTTGGTAGGTGGCAGTGCTTTCCTCAGCCAAAACCCACTGTCTTTTGTAGCATATTTCCAGAATCTTTATTTTCTGGCTGTGGAAGGATGTTCTGTCAGGCTGAATAGGACACAGCTGGCTGTGCATGCCGTGTTGCCTGGTCTGATTGCAGCCTGCCGCTTTGGCTGTGCTCAGCCCAGCATTCAAGGGAATTTTAAATCTTTCTTCTGTTCACTTGGAGATGAAAAAAAAAAGCAGGAAACAAAAGAACAGAAAGACATTGAACGTCACATGAGGAACATGTCAAATGATTTGATAAAGTTAAATATGTTGATCAACAAGAACAGCAACAGCTTTGAGGAGTTGCACTATGGCAACATTATCACAGAGAATGAGTTTGTGCGGTCTCTCAAGGTATGGAGGCTTGGCTTCTCATCTCCAGGGCACAGCCTCCCATCCTGCAGTCTGACAGGGCTGGCAAGAGTGCAGTAGGTGACCCAGAAAACAGCTTTATGCTACCAATAATGTGACCAGAGGGAGATATTTCTATGGTAGTTATATGTAGTTATGCAGCCTGTATAGTGATGCACAGAAGGAACACCCAAGTTTGTTTCTTGCTTAAGGATGGTGACTGAATTGCAGAGAAGCAGGTTAGGTATACTGTTGGTGTGGGTATAAAGGCTGGCAGCCAAAAAGGGCATGAAGAGCAGAAGCAAACAGCGATCCTGTTAATTTTTCCCAGTCTGACAATGCTGTTGGTTTTTGCTTCCCAAATCTAGGCAGCAGAGAAAGAATCAATTGAGATGCAGGAGAAACACAGTCAATTGACTGAGGAGAAGGAAAGACTCCTAAACAGCTTGGTGGAAGCAGAGTAGGTATCAGAGAGATTCTTGCTTTGTGCCACAGTCTTTGAACTGTTCTATATGGTCCATATTACCTTCCTTCTGCAATCAGAGCAGCAAAGGTGCTCCTGCCCTTCGTGAAGAAGTTGAATATAGCTTAACAAATCTTTGAAACACAGAAACTGTGGCTCCTTGAGCAGCATTCTAATTTTTTAGGGCACAGTAACTGTATTGTGTGTGATATTTTCCCTGTGCCTTCCTATCCCCTGTTAAGCATCTAGAGTTTTGTGATTTCTTGTTTGATTCCTTTTCAGAGCAGCTGGGACCTCTATCTGTTTTTGGAACCAGCAAGAGCTGAGGGGATGTTTGGTTTAAGGATTCCAGCCTATTTATCTGTGCTGGGTGTTGCCAAAATCTGTAGAGGAAGCTGCGCATGGCACCTCCTTTGCCATTAACTCAGAGCAAATGTGCTACCCTGGGCAATTAATTGGGGGCTGTCAAACCCTTGTCACTCTGGGGTTGCTCGTTTTTATTTTCGTCGTGCACTTTCTAAATTGCAGAGCTTCCTGTCTGACTTTGCTGGGGTTATTGCTGCTTTATGGTATGTCTCATATACAAACCTTAAGATTCTGCCAAACCATTCAACTTTGTGCTCAGAATCCTGAACAAGCAGTGCATCACCCCTGTTGTTTACCAAGGTGCTCGTTTTCCTTTCTGTCATCGAAGGCATCAAATCATGTTGTGGGAGAAAAAGATCCAGCTGGCCAAAGAGATGCGGTCAGCAGTGGATTCCGAGACAGGACAAGGCGAAATCCGAGCCATGAGAACAGAGATTCATAGGATGCAGGTAAGTTATTAGGAAAGAGGACTGAAGAGGAAGGGTTGCATGCAATTTGTTCAGCCTCAGAGGAATTGCAGAAATAGAAAGTAAGGAAAAACAAAACAAAACAAAGAAAACAAACAAACAGTCTTTAGAAATAGCATATTTAAAGCTGTAGCAGTATCAGGGAAATCTGATCACCCTGCAGCTAAATTGAATTAAATATGTTCAGCATGAATGCACTTTATGCAATCCTTACGCTAACTGCATAATAGACTGCAGCAAAATTTAGACATATCTAAGAGAATTTTCTTTGAAATATGTCTATTACCTGATTCCATGAGTCCAATTTATAAGCAGAGAAATATTGATTATTGAGCACCCCATCATGTTAATGACTAATTAGAAGTTACCTATTTTCTGGCAAAGAAACTCTTTCCTTTCATTCTCAAGATACCTCTGCTTTCCTGCTTCTGCTATTGCAGCTGAGCTCCTGTGTAGCTTTTTGAAGATTACCATAGACAAATTGCATAGAGTTGGTAACTGAGCTCTCTGCCATCCAGATCCGCACTGTGAAAAACTAGGTTTGGATTTGAAACAAAGTTGTCTTACCAAGACCCATGTGTCACATAAATCTGGTTTATGTTGATAGGATGTGCTGTGTGGAAGAATTTAATTAGGTGCCTTTTGCAACCATTTGGTATTTTCAGCCTTCTTTAATATCTTGACAAATGGCAGGTCCGTTATGGCCAGCTGATGAAGCAGCAGGAGAAAATGATTCGTGATATGGAGGCATCTGTCTCTCGTAGAGAGACTATAGCAATTCGTGGAGAAGGTCAAAACAAAATGGATAAGAAGCACATCACCAAGAGCGACTTCCACCGCAAGAAACAGGAGCTGCAGAAGAAGATCAGTGAAACACAGAAGGTGAGCAAGGCAAGCGTGGCTGCAGGGGTGAGCTTCAGCCTGCATCTGCCTCGTTCTTAGGAAAATGGGTTCATTGCAGCGAGAGCTGCACTTAGAGTATGCAAGGAAGAGGTGGTGCTGTATTCACTTAAGCCAGAATTTCCCTCTGGTGGCATCAAAAGTGCCGAGGACACGGCTACACAGAGCTAATTCTTACTGTGAGACCTAGGTATGGCCCCAGGATCCACTGGTATCCTGGATGTAGCTTTGAAAATCCTGCAAGATCAGCTCTCTCTGTAAAGCCAAGCGCAGCAAGGTTGCTTGACACCGACACGCTGGTGGTTGGTGCACAGAACCTGCACCGCTGCATAGTCTTGCAGAGTGAGCTCAGTCTTTAGAAAGCCATTTTTAAAAATAAATAAAAAAAAGAAAATAGAAAGGTCCCGGAAGGTAGTTGGACTAAAGAACTAAAGAAGCAGAATCTGACACCTCCTTCTCTTCCAATTACCAGAATGCTCAAGACTGCCATAAAACAGTTCTGGAGCTGGAGAGCACCCAAGTGTCCCTTAATGCCACCTGCATGAAAAAGCAGCAGGAAGTTTGCACACTGCAGGCCGAGTCTGATAGCCTTGATTTAGACATAGAGTGTCTTCAGGAGAGGAAACGATGGGTGAGTACAGCACAGAAGCAAACAGTACCTGCTACTTTCTTCTCTTGCTGGATCCTCTATTCTCCTTGTCTCATTACCACACAGAGCTGCGGGTACTTGGCATGTAATTTTAGCAACGCGTTAGGCTTTTTTTTCCAAGAACTGATGGCAATTTGAGTGTTCAGCCCAAACAGAACTGCTGCATAGCTTAATAATAAAGAATATTAGTAGATACTTAGATTAAATTTGGTCTATAAATAGTTCACAGGAGAACTTCAGGCAAATTATCATTGGTTGCCTTTGCAGAGTTCATGCTTTTGTGCATGAATGATGAACTGACAGCAAATTTATCTGAATGTTCACTTTTTTCCCCACTCACATTTCTCACATTTTTCTTGAGACTCCATGCTTAACACTCAAGGCCTTTGCCCTCTGAAGGTCCCAAAAGGCTGAGCACTTGAAACATTTTAAAGGCTCATACTGACCTTGAATTGCTGTCTCACTAAATGTGGACGTGGCAGCATTTGGCTGGGAACATCCGCCTGAAGGACATCTTTTGTACCTCTGAAAATGTCAAGTAACAATTATCTCTCTTGAAGGCCAGCTGGCCACTGTGAGGACACTGCAAGCTGGAGAGCCAGTTTGAGGTTTGGAATGACGGCCTGTGAAATTTTAAATTGCTAAAACTCTGTCCTGGCAAGGTTTGCCTTGTATGCATGGTACTACTCTGATTTATAGATTTCTGTGTGTGACTGTATATCTACAGCACTCAAGCTGGGGATGCCGTTTGCCTGTTACAATGAGATTTCATAAAATTATCCCTGTAAAGGACCCATTCCATTTCAAAATATGATGATTACAGTACCTTCATGACACGAATCACATTCAGTTTTCCTATAGTGCCTTTCTCTGTGCAGGCTCTTGCCAAAGCAATTTCTGTTTTTGCTCCTTTTAGAATCTTTTGGAAATTGTGGCTTATCAAACACGCCAGAAGCACCTGCAGGCCGTAAAGGAAGGGAAATACACGCCCCTGTGCCGCACTGAGGAGGCCTGGAGAAACGAGCAGCAGAAGTTGCAGGACCGGCTTGTTGCCATTAACGTCATCGTCCAGCAGATCCAGAAAGAGCATCCTGAGCACCAAAGGACTCTGCAGTGGCTCAGGCAGTGCTTGGAGTCCAGGCTGGGGTCACAGGAAGCCTAGTAGACAGCAGGAGCCACATTTGAATAAAATGTCTGTTAGAATTCCTCAGCTCAGTGTCACTCAACCTCTCTTGCTCTTCCAGATGTTGCAGGATTTGTAAGTAATAGATGTATTTAAATTAACAGCATGCACCTCTTCCTTAAAGCCCTCCAAGGGGAGGGATTTCTCCCTCTCTGGCTTCTCCCCGCGTTCGAGGTTGCGCTAGCCCCGGGTGGCGCAAG